GCTGAGAGACTGGTTATTGCACGGGTGAAGCGCTGAGAGACTGGTTATTGCACGGGTGAAGCGCTGAGAGTTTGAGACGCTTGCCAGTGCTGGGGAGTAACTAGTTACATGTGACAGAATTAGGTCACTTAATTACAAAATAAATGTAACTGTAATCAGTGGCAGTTACTGAGAGAAAAAAAGCGTAATTAAAGTTATGAAAATATTAATGATTACATATATTCACATCTGAATATTTTCACACATATACAGATGTAGTTGATTTCTTTCATAAATCGCATTGACTGCTCTAAAATATGAGACACATGCTCATGCGATCACTGTGTTATTCCCTGTTTGGGTTTATATGCTTTATTTTTAAGATGAACAGTTTGTCCAAGACACTGTCAGATATCAGTGCTTCGGTCATAGCTGTGAAAAGATTTGATTTCAGAAACAGTATCATAGCTACTAAACTATATCTTGTGATTTTAAACCTGTATTTATCCTCAGAACGATCTTAAGGTAAAAAGAGGAGCTAAAGTCTGATTCTGTGGTGGCTGTGCTTCAAAATGAAAGAATTATAATCTTAAAGTGAAAGTCTGACAGTAATCAGAGCACTACTGTAATGTTACCCTGCCTGCTTTACATGCTTCAATATTATTAACGGTTGAAAACATGCTTTAGGTATTTAGAAAAGTAATCAAATGGAATCAGTTACATTAATAAAGTAACTGAAATAGTTACACTACTTATTACTTATTTAAATAGGGTAACTTGTAATCTGTGACCTGATACATTTCTGAAGTAACCTTATTCTCAACACTGGGAGTTTGGTGTGTAGTTTTATAGATGCTCCAGTCCGTCGTTAGAAATGGCTGAGCCTCTTTAGACACTGTTGTAAAATACTCTGTAAACACACCCTTGTGACCTCATTACTCCAGTATTACTGTTGCTGTGTTTATTTGATGAAATCTGTGTGTGGTAGCTGTTTTATTAATGCATTAATCCACATGAAGCTGTGGTTTACAGTGATCTCAGAACAGTTTGAGACATGACCCATCATTCACCTTCACGGTGTGTGTTTATCATTTTACACAATCATGCACACCAAGAACGCAGTTTTTAATTATTTAAAATATTTTATTTAATTTTTCACTAGAGCAGGTAAAATGCCGGGATTTCCGGGAACTAGTCAGAATATAGGTTGTGGAAAAGTGCAACAGCCCCGCCCCTTTATTTAAATAAGATGGAAATCCCAGGGCACAATAGAGAAGAGCTGGTAGGGCTCACAGGCAGCTCAAACACATTACTGCATGATAAAGTGTCTCTCCAGACGGATCGAAAACAGTATCAAAAACTGACACATTATATGTTTGATAATACATTGGCTAGTGAGGCTCTTGGGACACACACACACACACACACACACACACACACACATCTTAAAA